CGAGCCTGACCACCCGATCCCGTTAGTCGCCTCTTACGACATGCACAGTCGCCTTTTCCGGCAAGCATGGGTTTCTGAAGACCTATTCTGACCCGGATATTCATGGGTTCCTGTCGCATTGAATGTACGTTGTCCAGTCTTTAATCCGTAGAACCCGAATCTGGCGGTATGATTGAAGCGACTCCGACAAGCAAGAAGGATGGGGTCAGGTGTTGATATGGGTCTTCAAGGCAGAGTGAGTGTGAGTGAGTATGGTATTACGCCCCTTTTAGCAATATTACAGCAATATCACGGCGGGGGACACCAGAAATGGGCTAAACACATTGTACCCATGTCGGGAATCGAACCCGGGTCTTCTGCGTGACGAGCGAACGCTTTGACCACTAGGCTACCCGACCATCCCTACGAGGCAGAGGATATGGAACTGGGTTCGGGCCTCGCCTGGAATCAGTGTCATGATTTTAGGACTGGTGACATGTGAAAACTTCTTCACGAGTGAGTGAGTGAGTTGGGTTTAACGCTGCTTTTAACAATATTCCAGTTATATCGCGGCGTGTCAGCTTAATGTGGGAGGAAAGCCCGAAGTGATGCAGGTCTCAGACGTTTACCACTTCGGTGAAACCCACGAGCACGGGTATGGTGCTGACAAACCTAGAAACATAATCGGGGCGAACCGGGATTCGAACCCACAATCATAGGTTTCCTGCCCAATGGACGCAACTCTGCACAGCGAATCGCGGCGCCTTAGACGACTGGGCCACCCGTGCCCCCTTCAGGAGTTCTTGATGATGACACTGACAATGATAATAACAATATTTTATGTTTCTTAATGTCAACCCCTAAAACAAATACTTTTACTTAATAATATACTGTACACGTTACTCTGGTTATAAATTATTATTCTGTATTTCCACGGATCTTAAACATATTTTACACAATGTAGCAAGCATAAATATTGTGTGTTTTTTTAATCTTTTGTCATGAAAATATTTGTAATATTAGAAAAAAACATGAATAGCGTGTGGCGTTATATTGGGGACAGGGTAAGACCACGTACAATGTTGTTGCAGTCGTCAGTTCTTGATTGTCTTCAGCCCATTTATTCCACTAAACATCAGGTCTTATCAGACACATGCATTCACACACACTGCTCTGGCATCGGTATATGGCCAATACCAAGCTTTGAAAACAATTAACCCTTTTTTGTTTAAACATACGAGTTCTGTTTTATTTATGATTAACTATCTTCTTCGTGGTAGGTACCTGAACGTTACCATGGTGAGGGAGCCACTGCCACGTTACATCAGCGAATGGAAACACGTTTCCAAGGGTGCAATTTGGCCACTCCCCCTTCTTTGCAATGGTCGTTCCCCGACCAAGGAGGAGATACCCCCGTGTTTCGATGTTGCTTGGAAGAACGTAACCCTGCATGAGTTCATGGAATGTCAATTAAATCTAGCTGTGAACAGACAGACCCGGATGCTGGCCGACCTGCGCATTGTTGACTGTTATAACACTTCCGCTTCCGGTTGGACTTACGACGAGAGACAGTACCGTATGCTGGCAAGCGCAAAAGAAAATCTGAAGAATATAGCGTTCTTTGGTTTAACCGAATATCAAGAACTGTCACAAATTCTTTTCGAGAATACCTTCAATTTAAAATTGACATCCAAATTTAAGACTACTCCGATAAAGTATACATCAATCACATACGAACTAACTGACAGTGATCGGAACAGAATCAATTATGTCAACAGATTTGATGTCATGCTTTACCAATATGCCAAAGGTCTATTTTTTCAAAGATTGAAATACCTTGCCTCGGCAGCTGAACAGTCACATCTGAGGCGTTTAATGAGGAAACCCAATGACTAAGGATGTTTCACGTTCCATTAGAGAACAATTTACGAGATACTAACAACACTCACTATTCTCATGATCAAAGTTTGCTTTTAAAGAATGTTCCACGCATACGTGGATGTTATTGTCAAAAGTTCGTAGTAGTTCTGACATAAAATGATACAATTATTAATGGCAGTGAATTTTATTGTTTAACATTGAGCTGTGTTGCATTGTTGCATTTCGGGATTCGGTAGACTCTCATAGCAGGCCCACGTGCATATGTCGATCTTTCAAAGATTTGTTTGGTATTGTGGCCCGTAGAAACACCCAAATCACAAGCTGTCGCCATCGTTCACATAACACACCTGGTTTCATCAAATAGTCAATTCTATGATGCTTCGCTAAAAGATCAAAGGTGCCGATTATACTTTATTTCGTATATGAGATATCAACATTATATACAACCTCTTTAAGGATTTTAAAAGATGTACCAGCTTTGAACATATTTACTCGTATTAAAATAATGATGACTCCCTGAATACAATTCCATTTCGTAATGTCGGACAAGTACATTTTATGAAGAGGGTAGTTATATTTGGTATTTCCCGGATATTCTCACAATTGTCACGGCGATTATTTGTTCCTTTTCTCACAATACCGATTGTCCCATCTACCTTTGTGAGGCTATCGTTCGGCCATTGTGTTTATCTGCGTTGCCCAGCTACAACTGCCCCAGGTAACATCGTTCTTTCCTTACAAATCCGTTATCGGTGAAATAGTTTTTTGTAAACTGTTACTGTTTGAATGTTATTACCTTGTAAGAAATATGGCAAGATGATATCAACCATCTCTCGTGCCACAGGCTTATCCCAAACATATTTAAACCACCGTGCCGCAGGCTTATCCCAAACATATTTAAACCACCGTGCCGCAGGCTTATCCCAAACATATTTAAACCACCGTGCCGCAGGCTTATCCCAAACATATTTAAACCACCGTGCCGCAGGCTTATCCCAAACATATTTAAACCAGCGTGCCTCAGCAGTCACATATTGTCCGAGGCGGGCGTTGGTTCCCTACGAATTATGTTTACCGTTTGTTTATTTGTTGTTTAACGCCGCACTCAGCAATGTTCCAGCTTTAGGACGGCAGTCTGTAAATAATCGAGTAAGGACCAGACAATCTAGTGATTGACATCATGAGCATAGATCCACGCAATTGGGATAGATGACATGCATCAACCAAGTCAGCGAGCCTGATCACCCGATCCCGTTAGTTGCCTCTTAAGACAAGCATAGTCGCCTTTTAAAGCAAGCATGGGTTGCTGAAGATCTATTCTACCCCGGATCTTCACGGGTATGTCTCTCAGGACAAAGGAATGAGCAATCCTTGAAAAGATAAATTGCCTCATGTAAACCTCTTGCTCAGCGTACGGCATTGAACAAAATACATCAGTCAAACAAACCGGCTGCTGTTGCTCTTCCTCCGCCTTGCTCTTCCTCCACCTTGATCTTCCTCCACCTTGCTCTTCCTCCACCTTGCTCTTCCTCCGCCTTGCTCTTCCTCCACCTTGATCTTCCTCCACCTTGCTCTTCCTCCACCTTGCTCTTCCTCCGCCTTGCTCTTCCTCCACCTTGCTCTTCCTCCACCTTGCCCTTCCTCCATCTTGCTCTTCCTCCATCTTGCTCTTCCTCCGCCTTGCTCTTCCGACACGTCCGTCTCCTAACATTAGTGGCGGTAACGAAGTTGCAACTTGTACAACAGAAAACATCTCAACTCACAATAACCAGCGACACCGAACTTCGACTTTCTTTTAAATGGACTTGTGGAATGTTTCGAGTCACGTGATTAAATTGAAGCAAATTAATATAAAAACTAACACTTAAAAAAATGCTTCTTATTGCTGCGTGGGTTGATGGATCGCCACACACTGAACGGATGAGGAAATATGCCCTATTTAAATAATAAACTACCTAATTTAGTGGTGTTGTGTTATGTTTAAAACGTAACTATGTCTCGTAGTGGGACAGACGGTCAGTTCGAGGATTTTCAATTTACGGCACGTTAAGTACAGATTTGATTTTAAAACCATCTCCAATTGAACGCATTAGTTTTAAATTCGGCATCTTAGAAAAGTAAAGAAGTTTGTTCTTACCCCATGTGTAGTGTAATAAAGTATAGCTTTGCCCTGAACTATTATAACGTCAAAGCACTCGATCAAGCGGCCTCAAGGGCAGTGCAACGGTTGTCGGATGAACGTTAACTAAACAATATGAAGATATCATAGATTTATATGGGTCCCCTGAGAAATGACTTGGTAAGTACACTACCCCGACATCTGCCCCATACCACAGCACACCCTCACATCACGCCACGCCACCCACTATCACTCCCCCCACCCCCAGAACACGAACACGAACACACACACACGAACACACACACACGAACACACACACACACACACACACACACACACACACACACAGACACAGACACACACACACACACACACACACACACACACACACACACACACACACACAACGCCACATCACAGCCCTTCCCCGCTCAGACGCACCATCATCCCCGACTACCACCGCCACACCAATTTAGGCGCCGTAAGTCGCTGTGAGGAGTTTCTAATCCGTTCCAGAACCAGTGGTCCATGGCTGACAATTTTGTTTGTTTGTTTGTTTGACGCTGCATTCAGCAATATTCCAGCTTTATGACGGCAGTCTGTAAATAATCAATTCTGGGCCAGGCAATCCAGTGATTGATATCAAGGGCATCGATCCAAGCAATGGGGATACGATGACATGCATCATCCAAGTCAGCGAACCTGACCACACGATCCCGTTAGTCGCCTCTTACGACAAGCATAGTCGCCAGTATGGGTTTCTGAAGATCTTCACGGGTGTTGACAATTATGATTTTGACCCTTGGTCAGTCTGCACCATTCCTGTGCTCCTGGAAGTCTCCAGAGTGGTAAACCTGTACCATCAGGGCGTTATCCAACAAATTGATCAAGGCACTCTGTGAAACGGGGCCATGGCTTTTATCTCTCATGAAGCTGACACACCGTGATTCAACTGTGAAACTGTTCAAAGCAGCGTTAAACCAAACTCACTCACTCACTCACACACAATGTGTCTTTATAGGCGTTGTCGCCCCTCCCACCGCTGGGCAACTGTCATCCACGACGGCCTTCTTCACCGTCGCCGGTCCAGCTGTCTGCGACCCTGCAGATTCGCACTTCACCAGTAACCCATCCAACTGTTCGACCTTCACCCGGGAAGTAGGTGGCGTGGTGCGCGAGTACAGGTGCGCAGCAGGCATGGTATACAACGCTGACATCAGTATGTGTGACTGGCCGGTGAATAGTCCCATGTGTAATGGTGGGTGCAATAGTTCAATACGTGATCACTTCACAATCTCATTAAAATCAGATGTAAGTTCTCGCTGTCCCAAAACAAAGATCTGAGGACATCCCATTACGGGTCATGTCGGAACAACTTTTCGCGTACTTATACCGACCACTGAAATGACTAACAAGAAGTCGACATCAGCCATTTAGAAAGCAGCTTTCTCGAGCTTTACGGCATTCGTTTCAACCTGGCGACTTCCATTTCAGACTACGCTTGAAAAATATCTTGACACAGTCCTCGATTTAAAATTTTGAAAACTGAACAAACGAACATTCCGGAATGTCTTATATATGGTTGAGATTGTATGGGAGTGCTTCCCACGTACCGTGCAAGGCCTCCTCCGTTCAAATGCTTATCCAACGGAAGCGAGAGATAGACGATGATTTTGACGGAATCAGTCGTACGGGCCGTAACTGTCGTACGGAATACCCCGTGTTTTCGAGGTTGCATAATTAAAAAAACAAATTCCGACTGTCACTTTCATGATCTGGTAAGCGACGCTTTGATTGGTCGGATGAAAGGTCATTCTGACGTGACCCGTAATGGGTTGTACTCAGATCTAAGATCTGATTTTAATGAGATTGTATCACTTCACTGACTTGAATGAGGATCGGATGCACACAATGGCTGTTCCCTATCTCTAGCCAAGTGTCATAAACGATCTGTTTGTGTGATTATTTGTGAATCACTTGCGAGAAACGTATTGGTAAGATATCTAAATATTCCACAATAGATTAAACCTAAGCCCCAATTATACACTACCGGTCAAAAGAAAGTATACACTTAAAAATAACAAACGTTATCAAAAGGTTTCTAGGCTGAAAACACGTTCTATGATAGCCGTATCAAATACATCACCATCGAATAACATTTCTTGCTTGTTTCATTTCCAGCCACTATCTAAGATAGGTGTATACGTTTTTTGCCCAGCAGTGTATTTGAATCAGCCCATAGAAAACCAACATCACTCAAGATATATTTCATTTGATCAGTCTTATACCCACTTACCATTATTACATAAAGATAATCTCAATTTGCCAAGAATGTCTATTACTATCTCACGCCATGGGCCCGTATTGACAAAGCAGTAAAGAGAATGCTTTGTGAATAGAGTCCCAGACACGGAACGGGCCTCAGAACTTGCACCCTCGTCTTCACCGATTTCAGCACCCGTCTAGATATTGAAATGTGTGCCTTAACATTTTATGTTGAACCATTGCCTCTATGCAATAGGGTTAATTATCTAGAGGGTCGTTTGGGTAGCCTAGTGGTTAAAGCATTGCTAAAAGAGGCGTAAAACAGTATTCACTGATCATCTAGATCCAGAAACTTAAATGAACACTGGATTAAAAAAACTAATCGAATGGTCTGATAAATCATTAGGCTCGAATCCAATAGTCGACACGATTATAATCCCTTGTGTCTCAGCACCATACTGGACCAGCTGGGACCTCCAAGAACTGGAACTGGCATCTGTGAGGTACACCAGGGGACCTGTTAATTCAGGTCAGGTGTCCAGTATCCAGTGCCTACACCCGTGCTAGACTATGGCGGTTTTTGGCAGCTCTCGGTTCATTTCCATGGCAACAAGAATGACGTGGCTTGGGCGGCGGGGTAGCGTAGTGGTTAAAGCATTCGCTCCCCACGTAGACCCAGGTTTGATTTCCTACATGGCTACACCACGTGAAGCTCAATTCTGGTGTCTCCCGTCATGATATTGCTGGATTATTTCGGCAAGCGACGTAAAAACCTAACTCCCTCACTCACCCATGATGTAGCCGTTGCCTGTGGATCGAAACAGTCACTCGCTCTTTCACATCTATTGTTTGTTTACTTGTACGTTTTTCATTATAGTAATGTACACACCTGTACGGTAACTCATTATAAGACGTAGCTTTATGTTCCAGTTCCCTCTGAAAATCCCCCGCTATACGGCACCGTCCCCAGTGGTATGTATGACAAGCCTGATGACTTGAACCTCCAAATGTTGGATCGCCTCTTTGTATTGACGAATGCATAGCCCGGTAATCCGGGACTGCAGTTAAACATGTACACCAAAGTTTCACACATGTACGACCCGGCAAAATGAGTTAGTTGTATAACCGGGTGCGCAATCAACATTAGCTTGAAGCGCTCATTAAATCTCGATTAATTGGTTTTTTATCCGCGTTGCCCGAATATTTTGGATGAAAGTTATATAAGTTTTCTTGCAAACTGTGCACTTGTTTTTTGCGTTGTATCTCATCATAGAATAGATTAATTTATTTATATGATACAGTAAACTACGGTTATAACGAACTCAAAGGGACCACTGATATTAGTTCGATATAACCATAGTTCGTTATAAGCATGTATACAACATATATACAGCAAATGGCCGGGACAAAAAAAAAGTTCGTTATATCCGTCAGTTCGTTATAAGCGTGTTCGTTATAAACGTAGTTAACTGCATTTATATTTTAATGGCAACAGATAATATACCAGCATGCTCGGGAATGACAACAAAAACTAGTGATATGTATAATGGGCCTGTGGCCTACTTTACTGAAACATATAAATCTGTCTGTCTGTAACAAGCAGTAGCCATTATCTGCTTCTGTGAGAGACTGTCGCCATTCGACCTTTGACCACTGAATCTCAGACGTATTTGAATATCTATTTTCCACAGAATGCCTGATGCCGTGCTCTGTAACGTACGACGCAGTGTACCCGCTATTCACCGCCACCCAGGTCAAATGTGGCGAGTACTACATCTGTAATGGGGGACAACTCTTCACCGGAAAGTGTTCCGACATTGGGAATGGAGAGTTCCCGTTCTTTGATTCAACAACGCGATCCTGCGTGGGCCAGTTGGAGACGATTAATGTCAACTGTCCCCCAGGGTCGGCCTAGAGGAGGCGTGTTTGGTTCAGACCGTCCTCAACAGTCACGTTATATTCCTCGAATTCATGGAATGGACTTTATGTATCGAAACATGTTCACAAAGTTTAATTAAATTTAAATTTGATATTACGTGTTCTATTCTTAACGAACAAAGGAGAACAAATTAAAAGATTAAAATTCCTCACCTTTTCCTGATTGTGAGTACGGTCGTGCTTTTGCGCCTACAAGAAGAATATCCTAGAACATTCTTTGGCCATTAAAAAGAACATATTCAAACTGTTTTATGTTAATTTTTTTGCAACAAAAACGCGCCTTATAAGCTTCACTTGTAATGTCCCGTTTGTTGTTGATGCTGTCGATCACTGGTGGACGTTCCAGATTCTTCATATGAGACGTCCGCGATTCGCTGTGCAGAGTTGCGTCCCTTTGGCACGCCAGAAACCTATGATTGTGGGTTCGAATCCCGGTTCGCCCCGATTATGTTTCTAGGTTTGTCAGCACCTGTTCGTGGGTTTCACCGAAGTGGTAAACGTCTGAGACCTGCATCACTTCGGGCTTTCCTCCCACATTAAGCTGATACGCCGTGATATATATAACTGGAATATTGTTAAAAGCGGCGTTAAATCCAACTCACTCACTCACTCACCCACTCATATGAGACGTGATATTGCTTGAATAGTGCTAACGTGACCATGAGACCATACTCAGAACGATCTCCTACAATCAGCCAGGTTACATTTTCTGACCCCCAAATCCTTACTGTGGTGGTTACTTTCAAATTCTTTTTGATAGGGCTTGCTATCGATACAGATCATAGAGATCGATCATCGTTTACTAAATATCGACCAATTATCGATAAATATATGAAGAAGTAACTTTGAGCAAACATGCAAAGAAAAGTCAGAAAGAAAAAAGCATACTTCATGCCACTGGGAGACACGGGTTGCTCAGTCGTCTAAGGCGCCGCGATTCGCTATGCAGAGTTGCGTCCCTTGGGCACGCCAGAAACCTTTGAATGTGGGTTCGAATCCCGGTTCGCCCCGATTATGTTTCCAGGTTTGTCAGTACATACCCGTGCTCGTGGGTTTCACCGAAGTGGTAAACGTCTAACGTCCAAGATTATTGCACTTATATAGCGACGTGCATGTACGTGTGTGTGTTTGTGTGTGGCTGCTTGTACTAGTCCGGACTGATGCCGATTTATAGTGATAGCTCACTGAGATACCATGCCGCAGTTTAACATGAATAAAATGAGTACCCCACTCAGACACAGTATACTGGGGCAGACCAGTTCTTGTTTAAGCCCCTTAATAGCGAGCGCCAGGGTAACAACAAGTACCATCTTTTAACGTCTTTTGGTATGACACGGCCGGGGATCGAACCCCGGACCTTCCGCTCTCCGGGCGGACGCTCTACCACTAGACCACGGAGGCGGTCTAAACGTCTGAGACCTGCACCACTTCGGCCTGTCCTCCCACATTAAGCTGACACGCCGTGATATAACTGAAATACTGTTCAAAGTGGCGTAAAACCCAACTCACTCACTCACTCACTCATGCCACTGGTGAGTGGTGATATATTTATGCATGGATTTATGCATGTGGACATGTTATGACAAAAACAGTTGCTTTCCGTTTTGGCAATTAACATGATTGATAATAACATTTCTGTTTGGTAAATTTATACTTGATTTTATCATAATTGTTCAAGATATTATCGACGACACAATTATTATATTGTTTATAGTTAACATTTCTTCCCATCGACGATAATTCCGATTATCGATATTTTAGCCTGCCCTACCTATTGGAACACTCAAACAATGAAGGAATGTCATTGCGGAGTCCTGAAGACACGTGACGCGTGGGGATTCCGGATTAGAATTGGACATCAGCAACTCGTTGTCAGAGGCAACGTATTGGATGAAGAAGTCAGGCTCTTTGACTTGGTTGATTGTGTGGCATCTTACCCCGACATCATAGATCGATGCTCATGATGTCAATCACTGGATTGTCTAGTCCAGACTTAATTATTTACTGGCTGCCGACGAAAAGCTGAAATATGGGAGTGCGGCGTTAAACAACAAACACACAATCAAACAAACAAACTTTTAAGACGCGTTGTCTGCACAACAGAAGCTGGGATATATCACACCCGTCAATGACCAAGGGGCTCAAATACTTATCAGGTGTATCAACATACCCGACTTCGACTGATGCAGTCACTGGTAAATAGAAAGATGCCATGAGATTCACATTGTATCATCTAAAGCGATACGTCGACTGATCATCGTTCGAGAAAGCGAAGTCTTACTGTAATTATTTGAAGACTGCACTTATCAGAGTACAGAGTAAATTAATCAAATGGTACAGTGTATATAACTTGTGCTAGTTACTATTACGCATACAGAATAGTTCTAATTTTGATTCAATTTATATATTCCGTAAAAGATGTTATATTTGGGATAACACTTTCTCAGTAAAGTACAGATTATCCTTACTTAGTACTCCAACTTCTAAATGCCTGTCAAGGAAGTGTAAAGTGGCACGGCTCCCATGGCCGAAAGCTGTGAACACACAATGCCATTTAGAAAGTGGCCACATGTTATAGATGTTATATTTTAGATAATACTTTCTCAGTAAAGTACGAGAATCTGTACTTTACTGAGAGAGTGTTGTCCCAAATTTAACATCTGTAACATTTGGCCACTGTCTAAATGACAATGTGTGTTAATATATTATGTAGTTCCCATGCCTATACTCCAAGTATCGATGAAAAATACTTTCTGCAGTTGACATACCCAAAACTACACCTTTGGGATCTTCCTTTATCAAATATAGTAAGAATACAATAACAAATATATTATTAGGTAAAACTTAAATATATCCTTAATTACATCCGGAATTGGGTAATATCGATAGCATTTTAAGAATACATGTATCTCTCCAGGCAGTGTCGGTAAGCTGTTGTCAATTAGGGACGAGTTCCAGGTACTTTAGAGTACCAGTTGTCAAACTATTCAGTAAATAAAAGCGACAAAACCTTTCCCATAATCATAAAAAATATATTCTTAAAGCAAACTGCATTGTACAATTCCGACCATATTTGTCTGTTTATGGAACACTATCAGGAGAACAGGACCCTGTTTTGTTCAACTTTTCGAAATGAAAAATACTTTTCAATCTACACAATAATGTCACTTTGTGTTATCTGCTCCTACATGCCTACATCTGTACCACCACCGTCCACGGTGTGTTTGTATTATCTATAAAACAAACATTATGTTATTGTCGGCACACCCTTTCTTATTGAACAAACAAACATCTTCAAAGATAACAATACACACGCCGTTTGAAGCAAATAATCGTTGTTGCAAGAACGCGCCTTCTGACACGCCTATTTATGGGCGTGGCTTTGGAAGGGACGCCCCTCGCTGGTAGAACACCCGTCATATTTATAACGAAAAGCCTTTTCTTTGGGTAGATCATCACCTCGAGATAACATATCGCCAAAATGAAGTCCTCACTCGTTATTGTCACAGTTTTGGGTGAGTATTCCCTTTGTCTTACACTAGCGTGGAGCAATTACCTCTTATTCCAGCCCATGCTGAATTCACAAACCAGTATGATGATAATTTATTAAATAGTTTATGTAGTATAGTCTTACTGTAGTTATAATCAGTGATCGAATTACCTGTCAACTATGACTTTAAAATAAAGTGAGATACCATGCCGCTGTTTGAGATGGGTACCCCACTCAGACACAATATACTGACTCCGAGCCGACCAGTCAAACGTTCTTTCCAAATTGCTTGATTTCACCATTGCCAATTTTATATACGTTGCTCGCATTAAAATAGGGGAATCGGAAAAAAGATGTTTTCCAAATTTAATATTATGAACACTAGAATAGCGAAGCAATTATGTCAGGAAAAAGAAACCTTTTGTTAACTCTTCGACTTCTCTGCACTGTCAAAGGGGGGCACGGGTGGCCCAGTCGTCTAAGGCGCCGCGATTCCGCGAGTTGCGTCCCTTGGGCACGCCAGACACCTATGATTGTTGGTTCGAATCCCGGATCGACCCGCATATGTTTCTAGGTTTGTCAGCACCATACCAGTGCTCGTGGGTTTCGCCGAAGTGGAAACGTCTGAGACCTGCATCACTTCGGGCTTTCCTCCCACATTAAGCTGACACGCTGTGATATAACTGGAATAATGTTAAAAACGGCGTTAAACCAAACTCACTCACTGTCAAAGATAACCTTATTCAGTGTCTGACGTTTCTGGTTGATGATCTGGGCTGATCATCAGACAGGCAAATCAAATGGTTATGGTAGAAACAATATACATAAGGTGCAGACCATTGGTTTTTAAAAATATTATGATGTCTTCAAAAACAATTGGGAAGATTATTTGTACAAGAAAAGGAAAAGTGTTATTAGGCTGTTAAAATGAAATGCATATACGGAGAGTGAGGGGGAATTTGGTTTAACCCCACTTTGAACAGTATTTCAGTTATATCACGGCTTGTCAACTTCATGTGGGAGGACAGGCCGAAGTGGTGCAGGTCTCAGACGTTTAGACCGCCACCGTGGTCTAGTGGTAGAGCGTCCGCCCGGAGAGCGGAAGGTCCGGGGTTCGATCCCCGGCCGTGTCATACCAAAAGACGTTAAAAGATGGTACTTGTTGTTACCCTGGCGCTCGGCATTAAGGGGCTTAAACAAGGACTGGTCTGCCCCAGTATACTGTGTCTGAGTGGGGTACTCATTTTATTCATGTTAAACTGCGGCATGGTATCTCAGTGAGCTATCACTATAAATCGGCATCAGTCCGGACTAGTACAAGCAGCCACACACACACACATACACGTACATGCACGTCGCTATATAAGTGCAATAATCTTGGACGCGACGTTAAACCCCATTTCACCTCACCTCTCAGACCTTTTACCACACAGCAACAGTCCAGTCACATCACGGCGGGGGTAGCTTCACACAGTGTAACCGTATGGGCAACGCTACCCGGTCCTTCGACGTGGCGAGACAACGCTTTAGCCGCTTGGTTACCCCCCCCCCCCCCCCCCTTGGATATGAAACACAGGGCCCAGTTGCACAAAGTGATCTTGGGGATACGACTATTGTAAGCCTGTAAGCATGGGCATTACGATCGACCTAGCGCTAAGATAGCTTTGTGCAACGGGGCCCTGATCGTGAAGCATGGCCCCGGTCCTCTCTAACGTAAACAAACGTACCGTATACACTGTTCACGATCATGACGTCTTTGACGTGACGTTAATACTCTGCGGCTATGTTCGACATTCGGTTACTGCATATAATGCATTTATTTCAGTTGGGTGTTTCCTCCCCGCTATACGAGCTCAGGTGGAGGGTGTCTTCTGTTCCGAGAGCAGCACTGTCTTCATGCCCTCACCAGACGCCGGAGAATGCTCCGTCAACTTCCGCTGTTCCAAGAACGTGTGGGTCAAGTACCGTTGTGCGACCGGCCTCGTCTTCAACCCAGACACCCAGCTCTGTGTCTTCCCGGAAGATAACCCAGCATGCAGCAGTAAGTCCGCCATTGCAACAAAATTCGGTGACCACTTTGGGGAACTTGGGTCCACTCGGGTCCACTCGGAACCACTCGGGTCCCCACTACTCCACTCGGATTCGCTCGGGTTATTCCGCCACTGTTTGCCGCTAGATCCTACCGCATTGTTTGTTTTACACAACGTCCAATTTTGTATGTTGAAATATCAGAAATTATGAAATCTGGCATGGAGAACAGGACAACTGGAACCACTTTCTTTGCGGAAATGTCTCCCTTATGCTGACGGATTGTGTTCTGCCGTATGGTGATCACTAAACGGTATACTCCCCGAGGCTGGCCGAGATCTGCCGGTGACATCCTGGTAACTGAGTGGGAATCTTGACTACTACTTCCGGGATACAGACGTTCCCCCGTTACCAATACTTGTTGTTCATTCGTTCGTTCGATTTATTTATCGCATCGACGCGTCCATCCATTATATGATAAGTGAGTGAGTGAGTATGGTTTTACGCCGCTTTTAGCAATATTCCAGCAATATCACGGCGGGGGACACCAGAAATGGGCTTCACACATTGTACCCATGTCGAGAATCGAACCCGGGTCTTCGGCGTGACGAGCCAACGCTTTAACCACTAGGCTACCCGACCGCCCCCATTATATGATAAAGTATGATACAACTATGTTTCTTGATTCTTCTTGGCAGATACTTTTAGTGCATGAGGTATGGGATGTTTTATGTCATCAATCAATGTTCCAGATCCCAGCCCTGCCAACTTCGCCAGTCTCCTGAGGGCTGTGGATCAGTCCTCCGGTAAGTCTATACAGTACACTACGGTTATAACGAACACGCTTATAACGAACTAACGGATATAACGAACTAACTTTTTAGTCTCGACTATATGCTGTAGGTATGCTGTATATATGCTTATAACGAATTACGGTTATAACGAACTAAAATTAGTAGTCCCTTTGAGTTCGTTATAACCGTAGTTTACTGTATATTTGAATTCTTAGTAAGATTCAACACTATTTATGAATAGAGCGTTTTCAATAAGAGTCCAAACACAAACAGGCAGATTTTGGACTGAATTATTCACGTGAGAGTGAGGATGACCAACAAAGATTTGAAATTAAAAGTATTTAAATAATATCACGACGCTTCAGCATAATGAGAGCGGAAAGCCCAAACTAGAGTAAAAGACGTTGTCCATGAGAGAATCTATCGTGCATGGGTATGGTGCTGACAGATTTAGAATTAAAAGCTGATCCTGGCACTGCTACGGGACGCAACTCCGCAAGACGCGA